TTTAAGCCTCAATTTCGGAAATTGATTCGAATGAGTGGCATGACTGGCACGAATACTGAAAACTGCCTTGTCGGCTAGGCGAGACCCCGAAACCCTGACTCAAAGTCAGCAAATATTAATCGAAAGAGCAGAGATCAATATTAGTGAGTCATAAAAGCCTTTCCATAGAAAGCGCAATCCGAAATTGAGGCGAAAATCAGGAAACAACTTTTCGAATAACGGATACCCACCAGCGTGAGCGGGGATGACTGAAACGCAATGGGAAGACGTGCCCTGGTACGTCAAAACGAGGGACCTGTGAGTCGTGGGAGCAATCCCTTAATACAGGTACGCAGGGTGGGATGTTTTTGAAGGAGCCCAGGAGGGGAGGCTTAGCTGGTTGATCGTCTTAGGAATTTCCTCTGACTGTCCTAGCTGCATCTTTCTTCTCACATCCCAATTTGGGTTTGCCTCTGCGGGGTAGTGGTATCTGGTCAAGCCAATCTCTTAAGATTTGTATGCCGCGTGCTTTCGACGCGGTAGACGTCGGGACAACTAAAGTCCCGTCGCGCCCAAACCGAGGATCAAGCCTTTAGTTCCACTCTCCTTGAGTGTCGAACCTTGAAAAGATCGGTATTTTTTTCGAGGAAGTCGCCGTCTTAGATTAACAAGGCTCCGACTCCCTGTGAGCGTCAGGGATGTCGTAGCAAACGTGACTTTCGGATCTCCAAAGTATATTTAAAAACGAAGAAGTGAAAGACAGTGGGCTATGCCAACCTTCGGTGCCCAGGGAGAGGGGTGGTAATGTTTGATTACGCTGCGCCTCCCTCATAACGGAAAAGTATGAAAAATGCATACACTAACTGTCACAGTAGTTTCGTCTTTTATGAAAATTTAGCAGTAGTATAATTATCACAGATAACTATCAGTATTATAAAACCCATATACATTGGACTGTGTGTACTAGATCTTTCAAATACATTAGTTTATGATTTTCTCTATGGATATATGAAGCAACAAATTGGTTAAAAATGCAAATTACTGATACCGATATGGACAGCTTCATGTATAAGATTCAAGACGTTGATATGTATGAGATTATGAAAGAAGATAAAGCAGACTATCTAATTGATAATCAATATGATATGCCTTTCGCTCACAAAAAAGTTTTCGAAAGAGTCATAATGAATGAGTCAATGCCTCCATTATGATAAAGTACATTGGTTTATGAAGTAATCTGTACAGTACTGAAATAGCAAATAAGGAACCTCTGAAAAAGGCAAAAGGAGTGAAAAAACATACAATTAAAAATAGTATCACGCATGCAGATTAACGAAAATGCTTAAAAGGAGTAGAAATTATTAAATGTAGCCAGTGTAAATTACGAATCAAATTACATCAAGTATTCACAGAAAAAGAAGAAAAGACAGTACTAAACCCTTATAATGACAAGCATTTTATATATGATAATAACATAACCTGACGTGAAACTTGCTCATTAGATAAGACGGGTTATTTGCGGTAGATTTTGGGTCTCTGACTTCAAATCTGACCTTAAAATTACTCTATCATATCAAGTTTGTTAAATATCCTAACCCAAAAGTGCAAAAAATGTTGTTTTTAGCTGTTTTTGAGGTACAATAACATCTTGAATAAATTCTTTTTTTGGGAAAACTGAGTACGCTATCTTAAAGGAGCACTCTTATCTCCTAAAACCCTTTTTTAAGTTTTAAATATCTTCTTTCTGTCCGAGATATCGTCAATTGAAGTTTACTATTATAGCAATTTCTTTAAAGTCTGAAAATAGAGTGAGTCATTTGAAAAATCGATGTAACGTATTTTATTGTCATTTGAATCATCGAAGCGATACTCATTATCGAAACTGTATTATAACCTCAGAATCCCCATGAGACGTTTTTTCTACAGATATAAAGTCAGTGTGGATGATTGAAATAGTATTTTTTACAGGATAAAGCATTACTGGACATCTTTATATACCTAACCTATATCCACTGATATCGTGAGTATTTAAGCAGAGGTCGGTTCAACGATGAATACTTTAACCTAAAATCGTGCAACAGTCAAACGATATATTTCTAACTTGATACTAGCAGTGCAAATATTACTATCCATGTTAGAGATCGTATTTGAGCGGTGAGCTAACGGATAAGTATTCAAAATATCAAGAACTCCTTGCAATAAAGTCAATTGTTTTTGTTTTACGGTATATTTCAAGCTTTTAATTATACTATATTTATATTTTTTAGTTAATTATATTTATTTATTTTTCATTTTTTGATCTTATTTATTTTTATTTACTCATTTTTACATCTTATGTATGTTCAATTCATAAAGTAGTAAAGTTGCTGTTCAATTAGAATTTTATTCTTAATAAAATTAGAAATCTTTATCCTTGTATTTTCGCTGTATCAAATACTTGTATCTTTTTGAACGGCAGATCTTCATCATTTATATTAAGTTAGTTTAAAAACTGAAAATGCTAGCTCTGTTCCTATCAATATAATGAACTGAAAATCTTCAGATATTATTAACGTAATTAAGACATTTTCTTCACACTTTGTATTAAACAGCATTTTAAATATTATTTTAAGTCAAAAACTTGAATTTTCATAAAAAATGTCTTCACGAGAGTGTACAAATGATCCGTAGAAGTTTTATTATGACTAGTGATTTCGTCTCAACTAAATAACGTCAATTCATAACAACGTCTATCAAATTATTGTACAAAGAATATTTTAATAATGAATTGACCAATTTAAATAAAACCTAGGTTCTTAACATGATTTACGATACGTGCAGAGTAGGTTTAACGCATTGGAAAAATGGAAAAAGAAAGTGTATGTCATTTGGTAGTCCTGTAGTATGGGAGACCAAAAAATCACTAAAACCCCACCAATGGGGGTACCAAAAAATCACGTCGATGATTGCTATTTTTGTTTATGCCACGATGGTAAACAAATGAGTACCTTCAATAGCAAAAATAAACACACTATTGAATATACAAACGTACAATCTGTTACAAGACCTACTCCTCGTGCACCTAAAAATCTCATTCCTGTTCCAAAAATCAAAATGGAAGCAAAAGAAGAAGAAGACGAAGAAGATGAAAAAGAAGTAGAAGAAGAAGAAAGAGAACAAAGATACAAAGATAACAAGGATGAAAATGAATTTAAAGTTGTTTATAGTAGCAACGAACTGCGCTCATCGTTTGGTCAACCTTATACGTTTAATCAGGCTGAGTTCAATAACTTCAATCGAGATTTAGAGAATTCAAACGAAGAGTCGATGGTGTTAACTTGAAGATTACAAGAAAAACATGCGAATTCTCCCAAGGTAACTTTTACTTAGTAAAAAAATCGCTAGGAAGAATTTCTAAAATATTTTACGGAGGCAGAATCATTAACCTTTGGCAACGATGTTTCAGGTTGAATGGCTGCTTTAGGCCTTAAAACTTAGAATCCAGACGAGTAATGACTTTTTATATATTTCTCTACCCGCAGTTTGAAGGCAGCTCTCCTTCATAATGGAAATCTATACGTGTTCGTTCCTATTGGATATTCAACAGTTTTAGATGAGAAATATGAAAACATGAAACTGCTTCTTGAAAAAATAGATTACAAAAGACATAAATGGAAGAGATTTTAAAGTCATATCCATTTTTCTGGACCAACAAAGTGGATACACCAAATAACCATGTTTCATCTACGAGTGAGATAGTAGAGCTGATAAGGAGCTCTGGGTAAAAGAGAAATGGCTTAGTAGGAAGAGTCTGATACCCGAATTCATGAACATCTTTCACGAAGCGTTAGTTGATCCAAAAAAAATTCTTTTACCTCCACTCCATATAAAATTAGGTCTAATGAACCTGTTCGTAAAAGCGCTCGATCAATCAAGTGCATGTTTTCAATATTTACATAAAAAATTTCCAAAACTTGGTGACGTAAAAATAAAATCAGAATTTTTATGACCTCAAATTTCATTACTGTGTAAAGATGATGATTTACAGAAAACTATGTCTATCAAAGAAAAAAATGCCTGGTAAGCATTTAAAAAATCATAAATGGTTTCTTAGGAAATAAAAAAGAAAACAATTACAAAGAGCTTATAAAAGATATATTAGAAAAATTTAAAGATCTAGGATGCTGTATGAGTCAAAAACTACATTTTTTGCAAGACCATCTCGATTTCTTTTTGGAAGGAAATATAGGTGATGTAAGGAAGAGAAATTTCACCAGGACCTACTAGTTATTGAATCTAGGTATCCAGGATGATGGGATTCTGTCATAAGAGCCGACTACTGTTGGTTACTCAAACGTGATGATGTCATAACTGTGCATAAATTACAAGCTTATATTTCTATTAGTAAGCTTATATTTCTACCTATATAAAAACTTAAGATACTGATTTTTTCAAATAGTAACTTTGCACTCAAGTATTTTCAAGAACAATAAAATTACAACAATCGTACGTAATACTAAAAGTATGTTGTTTAAAACTTTAAAAATAATAATACTAGTAAAATTTAAAAAACAAAAACAAAAAAAAAGATAACTCAGTGATCAATACCTTCTCACGGTTGGTTCTGGAAACGGACGTTGCTGTTAAAGATATTCGACATTTGTTTATAGCTTGAGGGTTGTAAACTTGGGATTTGATGAGTTCAGGGTTCGTAGATTAAGTATTATGTGAAAAATCATGTTTTCTAAAATATTGTATTCAAAAATATTGTATCATTAATTTTAAATAATTATGTAAATGTAAAGAAATTTACGTAATATGTCTATAAATTAAGATGTTAATGGAATATTTGAATTACAGAAATGATTCCCTAAGCAATTTGAAGTTATTTAAATAGTATCATAAAAGTTCTTACCCTCCATAGTTAATTACATATTATTTTGAAAATAACGAATTGATATACAATAGGATTTTTTTGATCTATTATAAATTTTCGTACATATTATGATGACACATATAGGTAAACAAAGAATTCCACTCACCCTTACACCAACAAATTGTTCGTGCAAAATAACCCAAGAGAGTAAATAGACACATGCAACATTAGTTGCGAAGAGAGTCATAACATCAGTTGCAAGTAATATACGAAGTGAATAAATGTACATGTAATTAGTTGTCACCCAAAGACCACAGAAGAGACTGCAACGTGTTAAAAATCTTCCTCCCGTGAGACCTTTGTCTCTAAATCCTCTGATACTATCTGACAATATTTCTGATGATGTTAAACACTTAGATTTCATGCTTTGGTTCAAAAAGTAAATTGGAAAATATAGAACTGTCCAGTTCGTGAAGAACCATGTTGTAAAGAAAGGTGCGTTGAATGGAACATGCTGAAAAAAATACTATTGATTAAAATTTTTTATTGTAATACAGCCAAACGTTAAAATATTGAGTTCTATAAGATAGATGAAAATAATTCTAAGGATGTTCATTGTTCAGATTATATTTATATTTATTAACTTGTGACGGAGAATCGTGGCATGACCGGCGTTCTACCATCGGACTCTCGCTGAGGTCCATGAGGTCCATGTGCCGTACCAAACAGCAAGTTTATGCGTGTAGAGCACACACTTATGCTTGTTTTTCTTGTCGAGGTGCCGATGCGAGAACAAGCAGCAGAGAAAGGCACAGGTAACGAAGAAGAAGAGTGAAAAGAGAGAGAGAGATAGATACAAGATAGAAGAGAGAAAAGGGAGAGAGATGGAAGATAAAAGAACGAGCGGGACAGACGATAGGAAACAAACATTGGGAACTTACGCACACATCCTCGTGCTGATTTTGTAGTTAATATCTGCAAGGTTGCGCAAAAGGCCATCTTGCGCGTTTTTTCTTCAGACGTTTACGTGAGTTTCCAGTGAGCCGATGCAGGTGCGTGCGTGAGCGGGCATTGCTACAAGTAATGCGATAGAATTTCGAGGTAAACAGTAACGAACAACAGTAGCAATAGCGATGCGAGACAATCACAGCGATAAACAATAGCAATGGCAGCAATAACAGAAACAACGACAGAAACAACAACGACGAAGGCGATGACAACACCAGCGATATAGCAAGAGGATGACGGACGAGGTCTATGCTGTGTTTCTCTCCCTCTGTCACACATGCTTTGGATGTCAGCTTGTTGTGGTTCGCGTGGCAGATCTGCCAGCTACACTGCCGGTTGCCATTGCCGATTCATTTTGTACAGGCGTAATTATTTCTATACCGTTAGTATTAAGGGCAGAAAAAGCGAATCAGTACCTCTGCTACCGATTCGCTTTCGTGAGCGTGAATTTGGACACGCAACTCGATGCAATCGTTTATTTTGGTTTTTGTTTTTAGAGCGAAAGGTATTATTGCAATTTCGATGACAACAGTAGCAAAGTTGTAAGCAATTGGATTTCAAAGAAAATAAGTTATCGCGCAATGTGGTGCGATCAATACAGGCTGAAAAAAAGTCGGAAAAACTAGGAAATTTGGTTTTTTTTTGAAAATTCATAATTCTATTATTTTTAACTTGGAGAACTCAGATTTAAAATTTAGACAGGGGTATATGGTTATTTTAAGAACACGAAAACTGGACGCTGTGCGGTAATTAGTTCCCGACGCTACAACAGTTTAAACAATTTTCGCCTTTATTTGTAAAATCCGTCTTTGCGATAGAGATAGTCCGATTTTAATTTTCAAAACGGATTTGAAAAATATATAACATGCGCAACAAAACTTTCATTCCAGTTTTTTGAGAAAGTTGGGGGAAATAGGCTATAACTGCTGTGGAACATGGCTCTGAACGGCCGCGCGTAGAAAACTGAAGCGAGAGTGGAAAGAGACGACACGCAACGGCGGCGGGAGAATGGCGTATATAGGAATAGCCATAGTACGGTGGGTGAGCGCATATCTTCATATTAATTTATTCCAACTATTGATCATGATTATTTATTCATTTAGTTCTTATTATTATTATGTATGAGAGAGCTCTAGTTTTCCTTTTATTGATATCAATATTACTTGAATTATATGAATTATATATACTGTGACGGTAAACATCCGATTTGTGCTACCGTCTTGATCGCGTGGCTGCCTGCGAGGGCAGCACCTACTGGCCCGGGTAAGTCGAAAACGGGAACTCGTTCCGAAATGGGAAGGAACGCGCGCGAAGAGAAAAGGACCAGTGGGAGAGCGCCAACAACGTGCAGGGGCCCAGGAGCAATAACGCTAGAGCTGAGCAGTTACCCGAAATTCGCGAATAACCTGTCCGAACCCAGGAGTGCCTCTAGCACCGGCAGTGACGTGCGTGCGTGTGAACGCCACAAGGAGCGTGAACATTAGACGGCCTATAGTTCTTCGTTGATGCTGCTTCGAGTGGCTAGCCGAGACGCCATCGGAGGCCAGCCACGAGGTTACTGAATCCGTCCGACGGAAATAGCACAACGACAGAGAGAGCCTCGTGTTTAAGTGGGAAAGTGGCAACCTGAGCCACGCGCTGAACTACGACATTGAACTGCTCCTCTTAACCGTGCGAATAATCATATAAGGTAAGCTGGCCAGCTTCGCGTTATAGTTTTCGATAAGCGACTGCACGTAACATCTTAGCTCTCCCCTCACATCTGCGAATACAAGGAAATCGGTAGCGAGCATGCAAACGAATATCGCAAACGAATGATTGTAAATGGAATAACGGTGCGTAAGGTTGTCGCGCATACCGTATAAGCGTAAATGCACTGGTCAAACGTGTTGTAGATTACGATGATAAATAAACTAGTCTATGCATGATTGAAATGATAATTTACTGTCGTCTTTTTCTATTAGTAAGTTGATTGACTGATACCCGTCCTCTCCTGCTCTCCGGATAGTTAACAAGACTGATTATTTCGATCTCGCTGCGCGCATTCCGGTACGACTGCGCATCGGACGAGACAAAGAAATTAAAACGGAATTCACATCCCATTACAATACATATATATACATATAATTGATATTTTTTGTATATATATTTGATGGTAACTCACGTACAATGTCGTTCAATAGTACAGGGTGGCCCATTTTAAGTGATCCACTCAGATATCTAGATTGGAGTGAGTTTTATCGAAAAAAGTTTCAGACAAAAGTTACTCAACTTTGAGGGGGCCATGTTTCTATAACCTTGGATTTGACCTTGGAGGTCATGTTCAAGGTCATTTCAAGGTCAACTTTGTTTTTTTAAGTAGGAACCCCCATTTTTGACCCCGGATTCGGAAAGAGCGGGAAATTTTACGTCCAAAACGGTATTTTTAAATTTTTTTTCATGGCCTTGAGAAGGTCGATTTAAGGTCAAATGCTTGAAAAACTGCATTAAATCCGACGTTTGGATAAGGTATTGTGTTGAGTTTCGCGCTATGTGCGAATCCGGGGTCAAAAAGAGGGGTTTCCATTACAAAAAACACTTCGACCTTGAAATGACCTTCAAAATGAGGTTAAAGGTCAAAGGTTTTTGGTGCATTGGGTGGCCCACTCTATTCTGAACAAATTTTGTAGAGGTCATTTTTCGATATCTAAAAAATTAAAAAAAACGCTTTTAGGTAGTTTTTCAAGCATTTGACCTTAAATCGACCTTCTCTAGGCCATGAAAAAAAATTTAAAAATGCCGTTTTGGACGTAAAATTTCCCGCTCTTTCCGAATCCGGGGTCAAAAATGGGGGTTCCTATTTAAAAAAACAAAGTTGACCTTGAAATGACCTTGAACATGACCTCCAAGGTCAAATCCAAGGTCATAGAAACATGGCCCCCTCAAAGTTGAGTAACTTTTGTCTGAAACTTTTTTCGATAAAACTCACTCCAATCTAGATATCTGAGTGGATCACTTAAAATGGGCCACCCTGTATATTATTATTGAACAATAGAAAGAGGTATAATACGAGGTGTGTTAAAAAAGTAAGGTGACTTTTCAAATTTCACGGGCAACGTACTTTCAATTATCGATTTTTTGTTTTGTTATGTTGGTACACTCTTCCCGAACATCTGTACCAAGTTTCAAGTGTATAGCATTTTTTGTTTGGTTATGAGAGGCGTAAAGGTTATAAGTGTTTTGCGTGCTCGGCGATTTCTTGCTATCGAAAAATATGGATCAAAGGATTTGCATCAAATTTTGTGTGAAAAATAAAATAAAATGCTCTGAAACACTTGAAATGTTGACGGTGGCATACGGTGAAACTATTCTGAGTAAAAAAAATGTTTACATGTGGTACAAACTCTTCCAAGATGGCCGGGAAGATGCCAATGACGAGCCTCGCTCTGGACGCCCAAGCACGTCAACAACTGATGAAAACGTTCAAGCAGTGAAGAAAATTAATCTGGAAAATCGTCGAATTACTATCAGAGAAGTTGCTGAGGATGTTGGTATATCGCTTGGCTCGTGCCATGAATTTTTTTCTAACGTTTTGGGCATGTGACGTGTGTCAGCGAAGTTTGTTCCGAAATTGCTAAATTTTGACCAAAAGAACCGTCGCATGAGCATCGCTCAAGAACTGTTAAATGACGTCAACGACGACCCAGATTTACGCAAAAGGGTCATAACTGGTGACGAATCATGGGTATATGGTTATGATATCGAAACCAAATTCCAATCGTCCCAATGGAAGAGCCCAGATGAGCCAAGACCGTAAAAAGCACGCCAAGTTCGATCAAATGTCAAAATTTTGCTCACTGTTTTCTTCGATTACCATGGCGTGGTGCATCAGGAGTTCTTACCATATGGACGTACGATCAATAAACAGTATTATCTTGAAGTTATGCGCCGTTTGCGAGAAGCAATACGAAGAAAACGCCCAGAATTGTGGAAAAACAATTCATGGCTTTTGCATCACGATAATGCCCCTGCTCACTCATCGTTGCTTGTGAGAGATTTTTTGGCCAAAAACAATAGCACAATCATGCCTCAGCCATCATATTCATCGGATTTGGCCCCATGTGACTTTTTCTTGTTCCCAAAACTAAAGAGACCTATGAAAGGACGGAGATTTGCAACGATTGAAGAGATAAAGACTGCATCGCTGGAAGAGCTCAAGGCTATACCGAAAAGTGCTTATGAGAAGTGCTTTGAGGATTGGAAAAACCGTTGGCATAAGTGTATTGTAACTGAGGGGGATTACTTTGAAGGGGACAACATAAATATTGATAAATAAATACATATTTTTTCTTAAAAATACAAAGTCACCTTACTTTTTGAACATATCTCGTATTTATAAATATACGTACAAATACATTTTCGCACACAAGTATAGTAATTAATACAAACTAATCACTCTTTTCTATTTCTTTTTGATGGAATGGTATATTTGAGTTAGTCGGCATTTACAATGTAATCATCTAACAT